GAGAGAGAGAGAGAGAGAGAGAGAGAAAATAAAATGATTGAAAGTGAAAGACGTGACTTTTTTTTAACGATTATATATATAATAGGTAAACATCTATATACTCGGACGCATATATACACACGACGTGATTCAACCAAAGTATATAAATATTCGTGTACGGGCGCGTTAAGATTTAAGTATAAAAATGATAAAAGAACTCAATCTAATTGCCTTGTTTTTTATGCAAGACTTATGAAAGTATCGAGAAAGTAATGGTTAAAGAGTAACAAAAATGCTGTTTAAAAAAAGTCAAAATTATACATACATATATATATATATATATATATATTATAAATATAATACACACATGCGTACGCACGCATACGCAAACACATGTACCGATATACATCTATGTTATAAATGCAGAATGTGCCGGGGTCGGGATTGGAATTCAGGGAACGGGTGGAGCGAAAAGTATCCGAAAGTTACAAAAAAATTAAAAAATAATTATTATTATCATTTATTGTTTTCAAGCGCAAGATTGACCCCAGAGATTATGATCGGTACGTAATGTTGCGGGCGTACGTATATTTCGAGAATTTTTACGAACGAACACACCGATATGTAATTTGATAATCCGCAAAAATATACGACAATATATATATATATATATATGTATCCGGTTACATACGATTAAACCGAGATATGTCGCTGATGGCGACACACGTTTCTAACGACAAGATTATTAGAAATAATAGTATAATATGATAATTGAAAAATGAAAATTTCGAGTAAAATAAATTTCGAGAGTTTGCAAAATGATCAAATAATTACGAAATAACGAACAATAATACGACAATAAAAGAGAAACCGAGGGGAAAAGAAATGTCTCAAACATAGGACGACAATTTTTAAGAGTGATGGCGCACATTCTTTTTCAAAACAGTTCGTCAAATGCATCTCGACGAGATACATCTGCATCGCGATTTGTTCTTCCGAAGAGATGCGTGCGATTAAAAGAAAATTGAGAAAGATATAAATGAAATTTTTTTCGTGGGATAGTCACGTGTTCGACCCACGCAGCCTTACTGGGCCTTATTAAGGTATCGTCGTACTATTACTAAATTATTATCAAAGTAATGATAAAGCATAAGTACGATAATAACGATAAAAATAGGGTATGGAAAAGCGACGGAGAATGCGAGTCTCTTATCGCATTTGATCGATCTGAAATGTGATGAATGGAAAACAACAAGCAAGAATTAACGAGTTGTAAAAAAGCTCATGAAGAGAAAGAAAAAATTGCGAGGATGCAATCCGCTAACAAAAGGGTTTGAAAGTAGAAAATTAGAATCGCGATTGTCCGTTTTCTCGGTGCGATTTTGACTGATCTTTTTTTTTTTTTTTAAATTGCTGAAGTGCAAGTGAAGTCTGCAACAATGTATGCATGCGCGATAGGAGATGGATAAAAAATCGAGTGATAGAGAGAAATAAAAAAAGAAAAGAGAGAGAGAGAGAGAGAGAGAGAGAAATTGAGAGTGCGAAAGAAAAAATTATAAATACAACTAGACATTCCGCCGTTCAGCTAGAGAAAGGAAAAACTAATTGCGTCCACAGTACAGTTTACGAATGACTTTAAGCAAGCGTATTTCTAGCACTGTTAAGAAATATTTCTTCGAATTCCTCTACTTCTTCATCTTCTACTATATAACTACAATACTATTACTTCTTTTTTCTACTTATTTCCTTAAAAAGGAGAAGCTCTATAAATGCGTACAAGTCTCGATAAAGAAAAAAGCCTTTAACAAGCTCAAGGAGTGTGTTTACGATTACTGTACCGATTTTAATGTATAAAAATGAAAAAAATAATAATAACAATGAGTGATGATGATAAAACATAATAATGAGACAACAATAATAACATTAATATAATAACAGTAATAATAATATTAATAAAAATAATGATGGTAATATATTAATAATAATAACGGCAACAACAATGATAATAATAATAACAATAATATTAATATTATTAATGATTATAAAACACGGTAATATATAATATATTACTACAAAAATATTACCAATAATAATAACAATAACAACAGCAACAATAATAACAGTACTAATAATATGATACTTCGTAATAAGTAATAATTAATACATAACAATTAAAAATAATAATAATAAGAACAATAATATATAATAAAACTTATAACAATAACACACACACAGTAATAATAATAATCATAATATATATAGTACCGATATATAATAATATTAAAGATATTAATAATATTCATAATAATAATACATTCTAATGAAACAAATGATAATATAATAATAACGATAATAATAAGAAAGACACGAAAGAACGGAGCGCAGGCATCAAGGCTGAGCCGACGAAAGTCTACCCTCCTTAATTTAAGAACGAATTCCAAAGGAAGTGAGAGGTATTCGACGCTTTGAGTCACTTTGTGATTATTTGAGACGCTGATCTCGTCGATCGATCCGATGGGCGACGATACGTTACCTTCTCGGCACTGTGTATAAAATTAAACAGGAGAAAGAGTAAGAAAAAGAAGAAGAAGAAGAAGAAAAAAAAACAAATTCATAATTCCCCCCTCTCGTATTATCGTTCCTGATTCTATATAGATCGCTTACATGTTACTTGCGCGAGAATAATAAACGAAAAGTCACTATCTCTCAGTATATTCGAGTAGATTAACTAACTATATAATTAATTAACTTAAAAAAATGGAAAAATGGAAAAAAACGTCTTTTTTATCTCTCTCTTCCAGTACTTATCCGCTAATTTGGAAGGTGCGATGGTCGCCGCTCTGGATGCGTGCGACGCGCCGCGGAAAACACACACGACGCAATTAACACTCTATTGCACTGACTTCCGCGGGAAGGGAAATTTTTGATGTTTCGAGCTTCGAGAAGATGCGACTTGTAATTGCATCCGTTTTTGACGAACGAAAAATTTGAGGAATGTCGCGCGAATAGTCAGTCAATCAAATAGGCATCGCCATCGATTACGGAAAAGCCGATCTTCGATTAGAATACTAGAAAATATGTTAACCGAATGAGAGCCCCTTCGCAAATCTAATCGCGCTCAAACGACATAGAGAAAAAATGTTTTACAAGTGTTTGCGAGGAAAGATAGAATCTTAGCGCATTTTCGCGAATATGATAAATTCGATGCAAAGTGCCCTTGCACTTAAATGCCTTTTTTAGCGAATTCTCGTCTCGGAGCTTGCGCGCGTCGAGTCGTGCATTTTGCGTTTAGCGAGTAGTAATAGAGCGAATTTCGAAAAGTACTGATATTTAATAGCGCGCACATGTTTTTTAGGATACACGCATAAAATGTTCATCTAACTATACAATTTCGTAGTGCAGGTGAAAGTGCCTTATAACGGTCCTCCACGAACGCGAAGCAAATTCGTTACGCGAATTTTCTCCGGCCGCCGACCAAAACGAGCGAATTGTCTTGCGAGGGGAATCATTCGGAGCTAATACAAGATCTGCCTGCGGTTAACGCAAAATAATAACACGATCACACGTCTAATCGGTTTCCGAAGTCGATTCGAAGTCGGAAAAAAGAACATTCGCGCGATGGTTAGCAGCGATTCTGAATACAGAACGAGATGCAGAAATAGAAGGAAAGCTACTATGTGTGCATGCGTGTATATGTGTGCTGTGTGCGTGAAAAATAGAGAAAGGTAAATAGTAAAGAAATTGGAAGAAAAGAAGAGAGAATGCGAGAAAAGTTTATTATGTCCTGCAATATGAATCCAAAATACGATTAGAAATTCTAGACTGTAATATAATATACAATCTAATACATATAATTTTACATGATATAATAATTTTTAAAACGAATCTTGCAATAAACATACGCATAAATTTTAGAAATTATTATTTAAAATTCGAAAAAAATGCGGATATAGTGTAGTAATTAAAAGGCGAATCGCGCTATTTGAATAAAATTAATGATATGAATAATGTTGAAACCAAATTTCAAAAATAAATAGTAAAAAGATTTTTTAGAAAATTTCCGCACTCGACAACAATAAGATCATTTTATTTTCCAGAATGTAAAAAAAAAAAGTGAAAAAAGGTATATTTAATAAATATATAATTGCAGGCTGTGTGTGTATGATGAGATGATCTAAGAACCGAGTACACGAAATACGTAACTGTACATAACTTAAGTTTATGAGAAAAAGAGAGATAATGTAAGGGGAGAAAGAGTGAGTGCGAGAAAGGAAACGAAAGAGGAAGCGGAATGTAGTGACGAATATCCCGACATAGTAAACACGTCGAAAGTGAGTGATACCAAAATAAAAATCATGTTCTCTCATCTTCTCGAGTTCTTAGTTTCGGCACGGCGTCAGCCGAAAAGAAAAAAAAAAAAAAATCAAAAGAGGGAAACAAAAATGTGTGTCGGTGATTTTTTCGCGTCCGGGCGAAGATTCCTTCTTTCTTCCCGTCGCATTTGCTGCAGGGTCAACGCGTCCGTTGCGAGATATTAATTATATATTTCAAAGATGGATGCAATTCCGAAATAAAAACCCCTTAAATATGTCAGATGTGGTCGCAAGTTGTTAATTTCTTTTGAAAAAGAAAATATCTTTCCCGATCTTCCTTTCACACGCCATTCTTAATTTCAATTATTTTTCACAATCCAAATCTTTACTTATTTTATAATTAAAGATTAGTGAGAAATAATTTTATTATATATATGCATATTATATACATATATATCACAACTATATATACATAGAACAACTTTCTTCTTTTTCTGCTCTTCTTATATTTTTAAAAATCAAAATTTAATATAAGAGAGAGAGAGAGAGAGAGAGAGAGAGAAATGATATTTATAACATTTTAAAATAAAAAAAAAAAAAGAAATTTAAAAATTTGTGATATTTATAATTTCTATCATTTTTACAATTTTTGAACTTATAAACGCTTAATAAAAATATTGTTGTTTGAATCTTTATTCGATAAATATACTTCAATAAGTTAAAGATTGCAATTTTAATAAAACGAAAAGATTAAATCTCTAATACTACACAAATTATACCACAAAATTATACCATTTACACATAAGAAATAGAGAGAAAAATGAGATAAACAGTGAAAATCATTCATCATTGATATCTTCAAATCAGGATTTTCGCGACTTTTCCCAAAATTTCAAGAATTAAAGTACAGTGGTTGCGAGATATTTTGCAGCTTGAGAAAATTTGAAAGGTATGTGAAAATATGGATATATGTATTTTTGTATTCCACATAAAATTAAAGAATTCTTTTCAGTGTGTTCATTCCTTTTTACAGAGCAAATAAATCTCATCTTACAAACCCATTTTATCCACTTATAGAATATATAGAATATAAGATATGTACAATGCTCTCTATACACTGCAGTTTCATAACGAGTTTCTCTGTACAGTTTTCTCATACTCTTTTCTTGATATGTCAATGTTACAAGAAAAAAAAAAAAAAATCTTTAGTGTGCTCTCAACGATTTTTCACGCCAGGGAGATCGAGCTTTTTTCTTTTAGCGTTCGTCTTCGATGTCAGAGCCGGTAAGACACAGCCCTTCGATTCAGGGATCAGAAGCCCTTTGTGCTCCAATCGACGAATATACGTGGTGTTTGGTATTACCGAGATCGGTCCAAGGTAACGCAATTCACGCGATCGATTTATTTGCAGCGGTCGATCAACTCGATCTTCCCGCGAATTGTCGTTCTTCGCAGCTTCCAGTTTCTTGTTACTATTCGTCGCTCTCCTTTCCTTGATTAACGTCATCTGCCATCTAGAAATGAATAATGCAAATTATTTGTAATATTATAAAAATGAGATAGGATAAAGAGAAATCTCTGTACAAAAGTAAATCATAATTTTATCGTTTTTTGTGTTTTTAAATTTTATTAGAGATCTATTGTAATATTTATAATATACATTTATATACATACATTATTTCAACGAAATATGTAACAATTATTCTATTATAAAAATTTAATATTTTTCGATTCGATATAAAAGCTAACTAATTTGTCATCAAGTTAAATGACTTCATTATTAATTTAGACTAACTTTCCGGTGCTGCTGCGACAGATTCTGGAAGACCTTTCCGTTCTCTCAGCCGCAAGCGGATTCATTGCGGATTCTTTCGCGACGAGTCGCTGCAGCTCGTCAAGGAATCTGTCGGCGAAACCATCCTGCGAGAAAAACGAGTGCTGCAGCAACGCGAAGCACTTTGGCCTGGCATCAGGATCCGTACGCAGACACTGTGCCAAGAAATCGATCGTTACCGGACTCCACGTGGGAAAAAGATCTCGGAGAGCCACCGTTGCGGATCTTGGTAAGCCCGACACCTCATCGGGTTTTGCACGCCGAAGTAGGAATGATATACGACTGCTGCTGTTCGTTGGCTGTTTCCCGTAAAGAGGACCTGTTCTCGACAGTACGTTGCCAGAATGACAATACCAGATTTAATAGCGCGAAATAACTAAGAAAACTCAAATCTATTTAAGCATCAAATTGACGATAAAAACGATTAGAAGTACTATTATATCTTATATAAAAATTATTTTTATTACTGAAATTTTAGATTCAGGATCAATGTCATCGTAAAACTATTTGTGGGTGCCATTTATAAAATTCTCATAAAATAATATACGAAGCAAGTATTCTTTATATATATTTTCGTCGAATTAATATTATTTCTCAAAAAGCCAAAAAAAATCTTTTTCTGTTCTGCAATATTTTGCGCTTAACAATCTTTCTATGTCAATTCTATGATTATCCAATAAAATTCTTTAATTGGTCATGTACCCTCTTCATCGCCGACTCACCAAAGACCTTCGTGATGCGATACAGCTGATCGACTTCACTATCGCCGGGAAAGAGCGGCTGGCCGGTGACCATTTCAGCGTAAATACAGCCGGCTGCCCAGACGTCGATCTCTCTACCGTATCTGGTATCGCCGAGGAGGAGTTCCGGTGCGCGATACCACCTCGTCGCCACGTAATCGGTGCAAGATTCATTAGGTCCGGTGATGTAGCGCGCGAAGCCGAAGTCGCAGAGTTTGATCACGCCGTTCGGTGAAACTAACACGTTCTCGGGCTTTACGTCGCGATGCATGATCTATCGAAAGAAAAACTTTATCTGTGAAAAGCCACTCGAACCAAAAAAAAATCGAAAGAGCAAGTTAATTAGAGAGAGGTTGATAGAATATCGACGGGCCCGAATCTTGACGATAGAAAACGAAAAAAATGTTTACGAGAAAATCTTTATTTAAGAAAATTTATTAAAGATAGAGAAAAACTAAAAAAAGAAAAAATTACTTAAGGGGTCTTTCTAGTTTGACACTTTGAATATAAGGCGATTTTTGGGAATTTTTTTTAAAGAAAAGTATAAAACATATTAATTCTAAACTTTGCATGTTTATTAAATAACATTTCAAGTATATCCTGAATTCTTTTTAAACAAAAATATTTGTTTGTTTCGGAGTTATAGTAGCCCAACCAAGGTGTCTTAAAAAAAAAATTGTTGTTTGTGGCGAACATGATTTCAACCGTTATAGTCATCTGAAATAAAAAAACCAAAAAGATTTTTAATCTATATGAGTGTGGCTATCGCGTGAACTAGAATAAAAAAAAATATTGAAAAATAAAAAAATGGCAGCGTCTCAAAAAAAAGAAATTTCATTTTTCACCAAAAAATTGATTAGTTTTGTAAGTCGCAAAATTTGAATTTTGCAAATATCGATTTAATTCTAGTTCACACAATAACCACACTCATACAGATTAAGAATCTTTTTGGTTTTCTTATTTCAGGTGACTATAACGGCTGGAATCATGTTCGCCATTTTTTTTTTTAGGTATCCTGGTTGGACTACTATAACACCGAAACGAACAAATATTTTTGTTTGAGAAAAATTCAGGATATATTTAAAATGTTATTTAATAAACGTGCAAAATTTAGAATTAATATGTTTTATACTTTTCTTTAAAAAAAATTCCCAAAAATCGCCTTTATTTTCAGAGCGTCAAACTAGGAAAACCCCTTAAACCTAATCAATTATACGACACGAAGTACCAATTAATTGCATATTTTGTAGAATCTTCAATTAGATGAATAACGAATAACGTTTTCCATATGCGTTATAAAAGTCTCTATGTCGAGTTCGACCAAATGCAGCAACCACTATACTTGTTCGTTACAATGCTATCATTCATTAAGTATCCGGCCATTGCGTGTTGCTGTACATGTGGTGCTTATTGCAACTTGGAATTTAAGCGTCACGGCCGTGAACTTTACCGTAACGAAGGTGCACTTATTACCAAAGGTTGCCGGTAAACGAAAATACTCTATTCTGCGTATTCCGTGTCCGTATAAATACACAAATTATTCGATATGACGCAAAATTATAATTAACACTTTTATCTTGTTATAAAAGTTTTCAACGATTTATTTTACGTAACTCTAAAGAATTAAATTGTACAAGACAATTATGATAAATTGTCACACATCTACTTAAAGATTGCATAAAGTATTTTATTGTGCGCGTTTCACGTTTGTAAAGCATAATATGATGCAACGTATGTAAATAAATTGCGACTTGATTAAATCTAAGATTATATTATTTCTTATTATATATTGTAATAGCGGTCTTCACATGACAAGTTATTACGTAACTAAAAAAGCTTAAATTATATATAACGATATATCATGAGATGAGCAAATAACTATAGTTAAAATCATTGCATGCATTAAGAAGATTTTTTTTTTTTTTTTTGCTTCCTCATAGAGGAAGCTTCGTTTTCATGAAAAATCTTTTTTTTGAGATTTTGATGCCAATGTGTTTAGAATGTTCGAAAACGTCGAAAAATCATATTCCTAAAAAATATATGTATGTATGTATATATGCGATATATTGTGCAACCTCTAACTTCCGCAATTTTTGAGATATCTAGTTAATTTTTTTTACATGGATAGAATATTATTAAAGGATGGTTGGTATTGAATTTGGTGAGAATCGATGAAAAGATTGATTTTTTATAAAATTTTGAATTTTTGAGAAATGTCTGTACACGTTGTAACTTTCGCAAATTTTGAGATGTCGGGTTAAATTTTTTTACACGAATAGAGTATTATTAAAGGATGGTTGGTATTGAATTTAGTAAGAATCGGTGAAAGAATCCATTTTCTAAAAAATTTTGAATTTTTTGAGAAATGTCTGTACACGTCCTAACTTTCGCAAATTTTGAGATATCTTCCTCTGAGGAAGCCAAAATTGAAAAACTCCTCAAAATTGAAAAACTCGCTTGCTTTAAGGAGCTTAAGCTTTGTGAGCGAAATAAAATGATGAAGAAGCAATGTGCAAGTTTCTAATTTACATAATTTTCATCTTGTTATATATTATAACAAGATATAATTTGAATATGAGTTTTCGCAGGTTTTGCTCACTTTGTGATTGTGACAAAAGTCCAAACCGCGTAGTATTTGAAAAATATGTCGTCTCGATCTTTCCCAGTCAAGACCACCCCCAGCATCCTCCAATTCATCGAGCACGGTATGATCGAGATACTCGAAGACGAGATAAAGTCGTTTCTTACGGCGGAAGACCTCGATCATGTTCACAAGATTCTCGTGATGTAATTTCTGCAAGAAGGATATATCGGTTTGATACGAAGCATCGACTTAATAAAGCGCGATTGGTTTATAAATTAAAATTAATAAATAGAAAAAATACTACATATTAATTGAATTAAGAATTCGAAGCTTATCCAATTATCGAATTGTGGATAAAAACGCATTTTATTTTGTTACAAATTAATATAATATTGTTTCTCTGGTTAATCCGATACGTACCTTTAACATCATTATTTCGCGAAGTGCCATTTTTCGCACCTGCACATCCTCTTCCGTCTCCAAAAACTTTTTTATCGCTACTATTTGCCCGGTTCCACGATGCTTGCACTTCATTACAAGTCCATAACTACCCTCGCCTACTATCTCAATATTCTCATATTTCTCCATCTCATACAATTTTCGCCGGTAAGTACAATGTTTCTTGTGTGTGTTAGCGAAAAATTGGAGATTTTGTTCACTCAAATTTATATACTAAATAGTATATAACAAAATATAATAAAGTGTTAATCAGTCATTTAATTAATAACACGTTTTAAATCATTCTAAATTAAATTAATATTTTTATAATTTGTTCTTTTCACCTTTTAAATAACATTAAGTTTGTGAAATATCGCGCATCACGATAAACTTTAATCAATTTTCCGTCCAAACTCCATCATTTTAATACCGTCTTATGAGAAGGAAATGTTTAAGATAGTATAGTTTGTATAAACTAAAAATATCGGAGCAGATAAATGCGATAACGTCGCGGTCTTGTATGTATATTTGATACGAGACAGCCGCAACTTTAGACGCTGACTCGTTCACTGACGAGCCTCGACTGCCCCGAAGAGCCTCGTGCACAGCCCTCATCGATAATTATCGATCTGCCGGTAATTAGTCAGGGGTGGGCCCCGCTCGACAGGGTACAGGTGAACCGACTAAAAAGAGGAATCAAGCATTATAAGAAAGGAGGAGCCCTTTTCTGTAAATAATATATTTTTTTTTTTATTTTGATACGATTTTATGGAACAGAAAGAGAGAAAGGGAGAGAACTAAACTTCTTAAGTATTGAAATTCTACAAAGGCTGCACATCGCAACCTATCATCATATGTATCTCGAATTGTATTAGAAAATATTTATATTAAATTTGAATTAATTACACACACACAGACATAGACAATATCAAATTTACCAAACTCTTGAATTCTTCGATATAAAATAAGAGTTAAAAGATGTAACGAGATTCTCTGCAAACAGTTGGAGAGCGAAAATTCGAAGCCAATACGCTATTCCGGATTACTACAAGGACGAAGACTTGACTTTGTATAAGACGTATGAAAGAATGAAATTATTGAAATGTGTAAGCAAGAATTTCGGAAGACGGGTTATTTTTTAGCTCGATTCTATCGATAGTAATTCGAGTGAACGTTCAAACAAATGCAACTTTCCCGTTATCGTGTCAAAGACGATTCGTCATGACGATTTGTTGCCGCGACTCGTTGAGTATAATCGATACACGCGAATAGCACAATTGGAGCTTATTTATAGATGAGTTCGGTGACTTTCCTTGATATCGTGACGGCAGGCATAGTCGATTGTCCTTAAATCGAAACACATACATAGACACGATTTCAATATTGCATAGTAAAAATATTGTTGCTACAATGCATGCAATGTGTCATAGCACATCTTTTGCCAGGACTTTCTTAGATGAACAATAATAGAGCGTTCTAATAATACAGATATTATGCATGAGAAATCTAATCATTTATGATAGTGTTTGTAATAAAATCATTTTTATCAGTTATTTCTAATTTATGGCATCCTATATATACATATAATAATCAATATCTACAGAAAACTTACTTATATAGAAATGTCTTGACAAAAGATAATAATGAAAACTATGGAATTAAATAATAAAAATATAATAATAACAGTTATGGTAATAGCACCTTATAATGTTCAACACACACGCAAATAAAAATATTTTAAATAAAGCTTTTTTTCAACAATAATAATAGTACTATATCAAAAAACATGCAGAAATATTTCTGGAAATCGAGGAACAATCGATGCACCCAGAAATATTCGATGGGCGTTGTGCGTAGGCGAGCGCGTCTGTCAAGCTCACGTGGGCCACGACCATGAGAAGCTTCGCGGGGCAGATTCATCAAGAACAGCGCAAGAAGGAGCCGCTTTGAGTCGGGGTCCATTCGGAGGCGTCGTGTCGGCCGAGAGCAAGCACGGAAATAGACGCACCACATGGCGGGGCTCTCTTCTCGGCTATTTCTCTCTCTCTCTCTCTCTCTCCCTCTCTCTCTCTCGATGTATATACGTCCGTTCGCTTTTACATGTTGGTCCAATGCCGGATCGTCTCTTCGGTGGCATCAGTGCGTTAATATGATGCGCAGCAGGCACGTCGTACTCGAGCAACGAGCACACTCGTCGCGATCGAGGCCCGTTCCGAGCTTCGCGGCCTCAACTGTGCGGGATCGCGTGAAAATTGCGTGAGCTTCGGTTTCAATCTCGAACAGTGAGTTTGACGCGCGTAATCGCAACGGGTCGCAATTTAACGCTTTCACGATCGATAATGGCATAGTACTCTCTCTATATGTTTTTTTTTTTTTTTTTTTTTTTTTTTTTTTTTTTTTTTTTTTGAATCGTCATAGTAATACGTCATAGTAATGCGTCTTTCCGCGAGTCGAAACTGATGAGAACATTCGTCGTTCTATTATATTATATACGATCGACGAATAAAAAATGTCAAGAAAATATGTGGTCTCGCAGGAAGATATATAATTGTTTAAAAATTAAAATATAATTTAATAACGAGATTTTTTTTTCTGAATTAGCGTCGAGATTTGCACTGAAAATCGATCAGATGTATCTGACGATTAATACGAAAATGTAAACTCAAGAACATTTCACGAGGCAAACTGAAACGATATCCTTCGAGCGAAAAATATCGAGTCGGAAATATCGCGTCGAAAAATGCGAGAAAACGGCCGGTCGCTTCCACGATATGTGCATACAAGAATATACACATCTCGGTAACATATGAGAAGACAAGATGGGTTCAACACGCGGGACATGCGTGTGTGCGTGAGAGCGCGTAAAAGCGTCGCCTGCAAACATTAAGTACATACTCGTTTTGAAGAGTCTGTTCAGTCGAAAGTGCTCGGATGCATTCAATGTGCCTCCAAGAAGATGCAGTTTCGCGATGCGCTGTTGACTTGAAAGAATGTCTGACGAGGAGTGACAGTGGGAAGCGTGACGAAATCAGTGAAATTCCAGGCGATTCTAGATAATAGAAAACGGAGATTTTTAATGTGTATTCAAAATTGCAGCGCGATAAAATTATGTCATCCTTGTTCGTTGACGATCTTTGTCGAGAATTTTTGGTCTTAAGCAATAATTCTTTTTTAATGTCGCATAAATAGTTGTCATCTATAAAGCTTCGCGCTGATGGTTTCAAAATTAAAAATCGTCAGTGTTGATCATCGGAATGAACTATCGCATCGTTGCTACAAATCCAAACACTATTGTATCGAGAAATTAAAAAATTTTTAAGGAAAATTATAAAGAAAAGAAACTGGGAGGATATTAATCGTTAATTTTATGACAATCGATGATCCGCCAAGTTTTCTCGAAAGAAATTGATGAGAAGATGATTGTCGAATGAGAGAGTTGAATGGAAAGAACGTCACGCTCGGATCTCAAGACACGGAGATGATAAACAACCATCGGGGATATATCAATGAGAAAATTGTCGCGTCGAACCGAGACAGGAACCGATAAACTTGCGGGCCGATTAGATAAAAATATGGCCGCTTGCCATCCAACACCTGCCGTGCAACGCATGCAGTTGCAGGACTCGACTCGGATCAGTTACGGAGCGGGTGCTCCGAATCAGAAGACCCTTCAACAGTCGACCTATCCACCGCATTTGCTCAATTGGGTCTATCTGGCCATCGCCGAGCAAAATCCATCGCAGCCACCCGATCAGGTAGTCATCCGCGAATCATTCGTGAAGAGTAGGATTTATCCTGAGTCTTTGCCTTCGGGCAAAGTTTATTTCCAAATCGCATTAAATCTATAAAAAAAAAAAAATGAAGATTGTACGTTAGAAAGTTACAAAAAGTTTCATCTAGACTTGCCTCTGAAGAAAATAATAATAAAAGAAGCTAAGGCAGTTATTCGAGACCTTTGTTCGCGAGCTCATTACTGTTAGTAAGTCGACGAGCGGATTATTCTTTATATTTTAGAGCAAGCTACTTCCTACAATCTGGAACAATTTTCCTGGCGTGTCGCAGACTTATCTGCATCAAGGCTCGCTAAATCCGTCCGGATCCATCAGGCCAATGCGAGGCAGCGTGGCGGAGAATATTGCGGACTTAGCGGAACACTTTACGGAGTTAAGCTTAAGCGACAAGAAACCGACCAAGAGGCCGCCGTCGACATACCTGTGTCACTTATGCTTCAAGAAAGGTCACTATATCAAGGACTGCCCGCAGGTCGGTACTTTTCCAATTGAAATTACAATATCCTGCTCTTCTTAATAATAATAAGATTTCATAGATTCACTTTTTATTAATTATTTATATTATATTTTTTTATTCATTATTTTTTGAATATTTCTAAAAATAAATATATTAATTTTTCAACCATACATTATAATTTATAATTATTTTGAATATAAATAAAAGAATCGTAGGAAAGTCTGTAGATAATTTAAAGCTCGAATATTAAAGATTGCGATCGCAGATTGAAGCTTAAATATTCTTTCGGAATATAATAGTTATCTCTCTATCATCTGATTCGACTGTATATTTCAATGTGCAACTACAATTTATCGTCTGCATCAAAAATTACGATCTATTATCGCATATTATCTCATAGAAGCATGCGCGCAATACACAAGATAATGTTCTAAATACATTTTGTTTAAACTTTACTGTGATAATATAAGGAATGATTAATTGTCGATAGAGTAATGAATATAAACAATACAATAGAGGCTAATCGGACGAGAATAGTGAATTGAATTTAAACCCGATCAGTAGTGTTTGAAAAATTCGGAACTTCAAAGTAGAATAATTATATAAACTTTATCTTTTAACAGGATATCTTGTGGAAAATTTTCTGAATCTTTTTTAGTACACACACACACGCACACACATACAATTAAAAAGTATTTAAATATACACAAAATACATATATAAATAAAATAATAATTTATATAATATAACATACAACATTAATATAATATATATATATATAATAATTATAAACAACTTTTACATTTCGAATAAATATCCGCGGAATAACGTTTAAAAATAGTACCAATTATGTCGCCAACTTTTTACTATGCAAGTCTGTTCAAAGTCTACTACTCTGTCACAATCAAAAAGATTAAATAATTAATGATAGAACGTGAGAGAGAATCTCTCTTCTTTCTCTTTCGAAATGATTCATTGTCAGAGATAAATCTTCACGGACGCAAAATCGTCGTAAGGAGCCATCAGTTTAGCGATACTCGTAAACGACGCGCGTGCCTTGATGTGACAACAGCGAGATACTCGTAGCTCAATTGAGCGTTAATTGACATAGCAAACAGCATCTCTGGGACACATGACGTCACATGGTCAATCATCGCGACATGCTCGATGAGGGTGTACCAATTAAGCCGCTTCTCCCGGCTGAGGTGACATTTTTCACGTCACTATTCAATAAATGTAAGGAACAGGGAAAAGATACCCTAACATGATTTCAACCGAAAAATGATTGATAACTAAGAAAATAAGATTTAAAAGGAGTGATATCCTTCCGAAAGCTATACATATATACATATATATGTCACTGAACTAGGTTCTCGCACATGTCTCCAAAATCTTTTGATTATTATTTGTTATAATATTACTCGATATACAGATGCCTGGAATAGCGCAAGATGCGATTACTTTTGGGTTTCACACAATAACCGCACGATATGCAAAAAGAGACGAACCGATCGACAATAATTATATAAACTTTATCTTTTAACAGGATATCTTGTGGAAAATTTTCTGAATCTTTTTTAGTACACACACACACGCACACACATACAATTAAAAAGTATTTAAATATACACAAAATACATATATAAATAAAATAATAATTTATATAATATAACATACAACATTAATATAATATATATATATATAATAATTATAAACAACTTTTACATTTCGAATAAATATCCGCGGAATAACGTTTAAAAATAGTACCAATTATGTCGCCAACTTTTTACTATGCAAGTCTGTTCAAAGTCTACTACTCTGTCACAATCAAAAAGATTAAATAATTAATGATAGAACGTGAGAGAGAATCTCTCTTCTTTCTCTTTCGAAATGATTCATTGTCAGAGATAAATCTTCACGGACGCAAAATCGTCGTAAGGAGCCATCAGTTTAGCGATACTCGTAAACGACGCGCGTGCCTTGATGTGACAACAGCGAGATACTCGTAGCTCAATTGAGCGTTAATTGACATAGCAAACAGCATCTCTGGGACACATGACGTCACATGGTCAATCATCGCGACATGCTCGATGAGGGTGTACCAATTAAGCCGCTTCTCCCGGCTGAGGTGACATTTTTCACGTCACTATTCAATAAATGTAAGGAACAGGGAAAAGATACCCTAACATGATTTCAACCGAAAAATGATTGATAACTAAGAAAATAAGATTTAAAAGGAGTGATATCCTTCCGAAAGCTATACATATATACATATATATGTCACTGAACTAGGTTCTCGCACATGTCTCCAAAATCTTTTGATTATTATTTGTTATAATATTACTCGATATACAGATGCCTGGAATAGCGCAAGATGCGATTACTTTTGGGTTTCACACAATAACCGCACGATATGCAAAAAGAGACGGACCGATCGACGACTCCGCGAGGAATTTTCGACGATCGATTTAATTGTTCAATCGTGGCAAAAATTGTATTTTGTGCTCGGCAATTAGAAAATCTCTCACTCTTTTAATTTCCGTAGGCGCGACCGAAGGGCGAGGGCCTGACGCCGTATCAGGGCAAGAAGCGGTGCTTCGGCGAATACAAGTGTCCGAAATGCAAGCGCAAGTGGATGTCGGGCAACAGCTGGGCGAATATGGGCCAAGAGTGCATCAAGTGTCACATAAACGTGTATCCTCATAAGCAGGTGAGCGAAAAGGATCCGTCTCCTCGATTAGGATAAAATTAGGTCGAGATATCCACCAGACGGAGTCCCTTTCCCGATCGGACTTGATAAAAGATGCTTGGAACCGCGTTCTGCTCTCTCGAAATATTACGCGACCGAGAGAACGAAATCTCGCGTAAACCAACGGAAAAGCTAATTATAGTCGCATAATCGCGCTCGCTCGCTCTTGCCGCCCGGTGTGCAGAAATATCCGGTCGCGCGGAGGGTCACCGGTAATCGTTACGTTACAAATTTCGCGAAAGACGCTCGCAAATTTCTATTATAATCAAGCCGTAGCTACGCCGCGAACGAATGGTTTAGACGTAATCGATGCGAGAATCGCTGTACAGTCACTAAGGATCTCTTTGATTTACATGTATATTTTCTATATAATAAAGTCATACAACGAATTATATTATAATCTAATTAACAATATTGAAATTAATAAATAACGTTATATAATAATATTAAAAAATACAATATATGGATAATATAAATAATATTAGTAGAGTATATATACCCCTCTTTCTTTTTCTCTCTCTCTCTCTGTTTCTCTCCCTCTCTTACATAAAATGAGGAAATCGAAATATTCTTGCGAGAACGCGACTAACTCGCTATTCTCGTCAAACACTCCTAGAATGTGGGCAATAAGATCGCTCGTATTATTTTCAGAGGCCGTTGGAAAAACCCGATGGTCTGGACGTGTCCGATCAAAGCAAGGTCCATCCTCAGCATCTCTGCGAGAAGTGTAAAACGTTGGGCTATTATTGCAGACGCAGCGCAATAATAACCTAGTGACAATCGAATTCCGTCCAATTTATTAATTGTCTAATCGCACTAAGGAAGAGAGAATAAAACGTTTTATCGGGATGAACTGAAAAAGAAACAAATTTAAGAAATCTGTCATGTTCGATATATGTTGAACCGGTATCGACCCGGATGCAAATCTAGACACATTATAGAGCGCCAATCTCTATCGCGAGAGATTAAAGACGAACGAATTTATATATACATATTGCACGAGAGAAATAAACGGATATATTTTTATGTACAATTACACAATGAGAGAAAGGAGCTTTTCATCGCATGATCTTTGGTAAGGATCGCGATTTGGGAAGGCGCGACACTCTCTCTATCCATATTACTTAGTTGAACAATTATCTACACGGATACAAAGTGTGCATAAGAATGTGCACCAGCAACATAATTTTTTTTTCGACTTGTCGATATTTGACAAGCAGCACACTGTCGCATATAGGGAAACGCGAATGAAAAACGAAAGCGTCATTCTCAGGGATATAATGTTTTGATCCTTTAAGAATTTTAATAATAATTAATAGCGAGCAGTAACGATCATAAACGAAAGCTTCACACGTCACAATCATTTCGAGTTACATGAAACGCAAATCGTCATCGAGATATGTCTTGTTCAACGGATCCAGGACCTAGCGAACAATGATGCATGTATAAATCTCTTATTATTCAATATATTATTTGCATATGTACAGATCGGGCTACGATATAGCAAGAATGAAGAAACATTCGAGTTGCGTTCAAAGTATAAGTTACGATACGGTAATTGAAATCGATACAATTTTGCTGGGAGTTCAGTTTTTGATTGCAGATTTTTGGCTAGACGAGAGCGATGCCTATATTTATCCGGAAACATGACGATGATGTACATAGTCGTTTTTCGCATATTTCAACAACATTCTCAAACTGAACTCACCGAAATTGCAAATTTTGGTTTCGATCTTCGATTAGCGAAATCACTGTCGATTAGTTCTCTCTAAGAATGGCATTGAACAGGTACAAATCTAACATACGTGACTATCCATGTAGACGTGAGAGAGAGAAGAGAATTTTCTCACCTGCAATTCTAAATAGGATTTGTAAATGTTTAAGTAGAATTTGTAAGAATAGATATCTGATGAAAGATATTATTCGACTCGCATCATTCTACGTAAAATACATATAACATGCCGATAAAAACATTAATCGCAAGAAATTGATCGGTCGTTTCTTCAGATGATTTTGGCCTACGCATTTGGCTTTTGACAAAGAGAGCTTCTTTTACCGGTGATGCAAAAAAGAAATTAAACGGAAGTACATATCGAGTGCTAAAAGTGGTGTCGAGAGCTATATTATATGTTGTCATTGTTATTGCCAAGATTATGCACTTTATAAATGATAATCTTGACAGTAACACACGTTATGGTACATATGTATTATTTGTATATAATGAGTGCCAAATATACAAACCAAAGATATGACAACTTTATATCTATACCACGTATTCTCCCTCGTTCAATCGAGCATCCTTGAGAGAGAGTTCCTCATCTACACAAAACATGATCACACGCATCGTAGAAATGTTTTATATAATACAATTTACATAAAAAATATACAGTGGTCAAGGATTAGTGACGACGAAGAGAAGATCCGCCGCCGGATCCTCGCTAAAATACGCCGCGGAGTTAATCGTCGTCGTCCCCGTAGAATCTACTGTCGTCGTCTGCAAACAGAACATTTAGTTACATTCCACCACACACATCAATCGGAAGAACAAATAAGCAAACTTTATCTCATTTCTTCTCTAATGAGATATAATTATATCGAGATAAAATTGTGGATGATTATAGAGATTACAACTCACAATTTTAAATGTCCGCGTAAAGATAATATCAAATATCTTTACGTTAAGGTTTCTTAACGTAACGTCAATTTAGCGTTAACTCGTAAAAAATTGAATCGTTTAATCGATACAAAGCAAACGCTTATTTTTTTTATTTGAATTAATCGGCTACCCTGACGATTGACTCGCAAAGATCCTGTTAAGATGTAAGACATTGATTCACCTCAGATGGATCCATGCGATAGGGAGAGCCTTCCATCGCCGAATGCTGATACTGCTCCGATTGTTCGTACGGTTGTGTGTGCTGTGTGCACTGTTGCTGCATCAACATTTGTTGTTGTTGTTGTTGTTGTTGTTGCTGCTGCTGCTGTTTCCATTCATCGTATTTTCTCATCGCGAGAATCAAATCTTGATTCTCGTTGGTTCGTTCAACATTTTGCGTCGTGCTCCTCAGCGGCCTGCTGTAGTTTTCTTCGTTTAGCGATACCGGTTGAGATTGTTGCTGCTGTTGTTGTCGTTCGCCCGTCTTATCCATCAAAGAGTTCGCCGAGTAGCAAATATCAAAGATATTCTGAGCAGTGGGCTGCACCGCGACTGGACTAGAGACGCTGGGCGGTGGTTGGCTAACTAGAGTGATCACTTGCTGTGACTCTTTACCCTCAGCATTGTATACCAATGTCGGTAACGAAATCGGAATCGGAACACCGCCAGATTGTACAGAATTGAGAATGTCGACTGGCTGCGTCACGGTTTTCATGTCTGCGTTATTCTCATTAGAGCACTCGGTATCGGCTGAAAGAAGAGTAGTATTTTCTGGTTGCGGCGCTATAGATCCCGGGAAAGATGGCGGCTGTTGTTGGCCGACCAAACTGATGACTTGCGGCTGTTGCGACGGTTGTTGCAAAGGTTGTTGCGGCGGTAGCTGCGGAGATGACAGAACCGCGACCGGCGGTTCCGGGAAGAGCTCCGTTTTTAGATTCGGCAGAAAGACATCAATCGCTCTCCATGTTGGCGCCCAGAGATTGGAACTTGGCGCCAAAACGTTGGCCGACGACATCACCAGCAGCATATTTTTCAACGATTCAGGAATCGCTTCGAACAGAAGCTCGCTATTGTCGGCATGCATGTACGCACGCAGAAGCTCCAGCACCGTCAACCACAGCGGCAGGAAACCGGGTAGAGTCAGCAAAGGAGTAAGATGGTGAAGAAATACCTTGGATAATAACATCGCGGCTCTGACTCTTGTTTCTTCGACGCCGATAGGATCGTTGGACGCGATAGGACCCAACAATTGCGCTAGTAACGGAAACAATACCTCCTCGAGACATTGCGACCATTCTATAGCAGTAAGTTGTGCCAGATCGTGCGCTAATAAAGTGCTCTGAAGATACGTTATCGCTGCCGTGCGCACTGGCCGGCGGGCGTCGCAGCAGAGTCGCGCGATACCTTGCAGCAACGGTCGCCAAGCTTGCGGCCATAGGGATATTCCGTCTTCGATGCTACCCTCCTCCGCCCACCATCGGAATACCTGCGCAATTCTTGTGTGCAACGTGTGCATCAGATCCAACAACTGTACCGGACTTTGCTGATAACCGGGCGACTCCTCCGCGGAATTGCACACCCTATTTCGTTTGCCCGCGCATTGCAGTACCGCTTCGGCAAATGTTCTCACGCAGTTGACGCACAGATCAAAGTTGAACGGTGTCACATGCGCCATGTCACGTACCAAGAAATTCAGGCTTTCGCAGCACTTGACAAACGCTGCCGAGTCGTGAGACTGCAAATCTCGCACCAGTACTATCGTGTCAGCGGCTACCGGAAGTGGTGCTTCAGTGCCGGTCGGCGACACTAGCACCCATTCCGGCACAGGACTAATGGGCCTGGGATCCAACACCAATGTGCGAGCGTTTGTTGTTTCATCCAGCACAGTGTTGGATCGTTTTGGTGCTAATGCGCCGGCACCTGCGCATTCCAGCAAACTGAATACCACCTTCCAATCCTCGGCACTATGAATATTTGCGGCGCCTGTTTTCAATAATTCGAACAGACCGTAGGCGATTTGCCGAGCCAATGGCGCGGTCGTGGCGGATGGCAGATAGGTTAGAGGTAGTAGAGGAGACAGACATGCAAACTCTTCGCCGCGTAAAAGTCTGATAGCAAGTCTCAGCATACCCACGGCTACTCTCTCAAGGAGATAAGGATGGTTCTCACGTGCCGCCATCGTCAACAAGCGATCCAAGTGACCCTGAACGACCGGCCAGATGCATGTTACTCTGTCGCGATTCTGTATAGTTACTTCTAGCAATAACTCCAATATAAATATAGATATATCTTCGTCATTAGGATTCACCGATACTAAAGCACCAACCAGAGAATTGAGCGATTCACTCTGTAAAATATAACGATAATTGTTAACATGCAATTCAAATTGTAAATAAACTGTTATATGTCATCAAACATCAATTTACCTGAAAGAACTTGCTTTCTTCGATAATTTCCTTGAGATAACAATTGGCAATAAACTCCACGGCCTTTTTTCGCGCGGTTGCTTCGGCAGGATGTGCTAAACGCGATGTATCCATGGCGATATAGGAATAAAAGGTAGAAAATATTCCTTGATCACCCGGTGAAGTTTTGGGCGTGATCGGTTCCCGGAGTAGAGATATCTTGCCGGACGGATCGATAAAGTCCTCCGCCTCTGTGAGATTTTTCGGCAATAATCTCGCTTCATAGAGCGATTGCAGGCAATCGATAATGTTCTTCCATGATGCTCTCAAAGCATCTCCGTGTAAATGTGTGATCTTGAAAAGAGTGCGAGCGGCCAATTGTGACTTTGAACTTCCACCGAGGTGCAGAACTACTTGTTCGGGTTTCGCGCCGATTATCAGACTCGTGAATTTGCAGAGGCTCACTATGAGCGTATCCAAGTCGCCGCACATGCTATAGTGAGCACTGATCGCCGCGCAACTAAAAAAAGAAAGTCCAGTTAGTATATAAGAATATATTTATGATAGATATTTAGAAGACTGAATGTAACAAACCTGAGAAACGTTTGAGCGACTTTGCGTTGCAACGATCTGTCCGACGCTTTATCGTAAGCTCGACAAAGAGCGCTGATGATCGGACCCCACGCGTGCTCAGCCAAATCTCTGTCGATGAATTCGCCGGAATTGCCTACTTTCAGATACACGCTCTCAGGTCCGGAACCTCTTCTCAGTAAAACCTTCCATAGATAATTTTCCTTCACTAAACCGGTTTGCTCGGCCGGCATTACAATTTCTTCCCCTCTAAAAATAACAGATTAACAATATTTATGGAATTCTGAAATATAAGCCTGACATAAAATCATAATCTACTTTAAAATTTTGCGTAACACTTACTTAATTGAAGTATATATGTCATCGAGCATATCCTGATCAAAATCAGCATCACCGTTAACTTTTTTCAAATTTCTCTTGAATTCCTCGGCAGTCATGGGATTACTTTGTCTCTTTACATTATAATTATGTTGATCGACGTTTAACATAATCACCGCATAAGCTAATGTAAAGGCAGAATCGGCCGAAGCAAACGGTCTACCATTACTGTCCTAAAGATAGTAATAATCGGTTAGTCTAATTTTACATTCACGTTATTTCCAATAACTATTTGAATACATGTACTCACATGCCAATGCTCAGCGAATTTTTCGAGTAGAAGAGATATAAGAGGGGCTTCTCCAGGTAATCTAAACGATTCCAGATACAGTCGCAGAGCCTGATCGATTCTTGTATTCCTCAAATCAAAATTATGCACGAAATAATTGAGAATATTTTTGTTTTCCTTCTTGCTGATGTATTCGCCTATCGCTTTCTTGTCCAAACCGGGATTTTCTTTCAGAAGTTTTGCGACTCTTTCGGGATCCGAGTGACCAGGAGTACCGCCCAGAAGACCATGCTCCGTAAGTTTTGCAATACCCTCCCGCGGATTCTCGTTAAACTTCTCTGTGCCAAGGACCAACCACTGGAAATAGTAAAAAAAGATCTAGTTTATTGTAGCCTATTACATCGGAATTTGAAAGAAAAACGATTACTTACCCGTTTACTCGCTTTTATAGCGAGCAGATTTTCACGTGTGGGAAGATTCGACGATGTTTCGTAACGTGACGGCTTGCACAATTCTTTACAACCTTTACAACGAATTTCCATACCGACAATCAACATTATTATAGCGTCCAAAGAAATCAATTGCATACTATACATGCTGGTAGTTATTGGTATAGAAACATTCTATGAAGGAAATTTTCAGAAAGAGATATAAAGTTTCAGTACATTAATTAGTAATAAATAATGAAATATGAGAGAAACAATGTATATACCTTAGAAAACATCTTCATAAGTTCCTCGTACATGTTTGTGCAGTAAAGTCCGCAATCATAATTTAAATACAACTCAGCGGGTAAACCGGGTATTCTCCACAATCTTACTATAGCTTCTGCGCGCAAATCACGAAAATAAAATTTTACATTATTAATATGACATACTGTGTGATATTACAAAGTTAAGACACGTACCAAGCGCTAATTCTCGTTGTTCATATAATATCCTATTAGATTCAGAGTGAACAATTTCCATTAATTTAATTAAATAATGTTCCAGTTGGAATTTTAGGTGTTCTCTTTGCGATTCAAATAGTAGAAATGACACTTGAAGATCTACAGCGAGGATCGATAATCTGTCTGTTCCAAGCAGCTGATACATAAATACAAGATATTACGATATTTCTCACACTGTGTTAATACATGACATTAAATATAATTATGATGCTATATTTATTTACCAAGATAAGATTTCTACACAAGTCGTCCTTCGCGAGCGCGAGTAAGGATGAGAAATTCGAAAGAGAATCGGCGGCAATCTCCAACGCCACTTGTAATAAGCTAAGACCCAAGTGAGTCATAATTTCATTATTTTGCTTGTCGAGGGGACTGCACAGGGAAATGAGAAATCTAAACAGTTCGCGCACGCACAATGCGCCGTATGGCGCGCGCTGTTGCAGTGGAATAAATCGGACACCCTGACTGTTCACGTATTCCTCGATTTGTTCCATAATTTAAATACAACTCAGCGGGTAAACCGGGTATTCTCCACAATCTTACTATAGCTTCTGCAAATCACGAAAATAAAATTTTACATTATTAATATCACATACTGTGTGATATTACAAAGTTAAGACACGTACCAAGCGCTAATTCTCGTTGTTCATATAATATCCTATTAGATTCAGAGTGAACAATTTCCATTAATTTAATTAAATAATGTTCCAGTTGGAATTTTAGGTGTTCTCTTTGCGATTCAAATAGTAGAAATGACACTTGAAGATCTACAGCGAGGATCGATAATCTGTCTGTTCCAAGCAGCTGATACATAAATACAAGATATTACGATATTTCTCACACTGTGTTAATACATGACATTAAATATAATTATGATGCTATATTTATTTACCAAGATAAGATTTCTACACAAGTCGTCCTTCGCGAGCGCGAGTAAGGATGAGAAATTCGAAAGAGAATCGGCGGCAATCTCCAACGCCACTTGTAATAAGCTAAGACCCAAGTGAGTCATAATTTCATTATTTTGCTTGTCGAGGGGACTGCACAGGGAAATGAGAAATCTAAACAGTTCGCGCACGCACAATGCGCCGTATGGCGCGCGCTGTTGCAGTGGAATAAATCGGACACCCTGACTGTTCACGTATTCCTCGATTTGTTCGGGCTCTTTCGCTTTAAGCACCTTACATGTGCTCTCATCTATCGACAAGTCTTCCACACTACCGATCGGAGATTGCGCTAAATCGATACTTTTTTCTTCGTCACCTGTACACAATTATTTATAAAATAAAAGTTTAAAAATTGATTTATTTTTTAAAGTGACAAGTACCTTGATTTTCTGACACAGATTGCTTGACAGAAGATTCAGATGTTTCATCCATTGTATTTTTTTCATCGACTGCATCTTCTTTCTCTATGATCTTAGTTTCTGTTGAAGTTACAATCTTAGTTTCTGTTGGAGCTACAGTTTTATTTTCATTTTTAACATTTTCAGACACACCATTAATCTCTGTCGTTTCTGTCTCGTTTTTAACGTCACTACTGTTTACTTCTCTATCATTCTCTTGCTTCTTATTCGTCTCTTGATTATCCACTGCTTTACTACATTTGTTAATGCTGTTATCCTTGCTAGTATCAATCTTGCTCTCACTTTTTTCGTCCTCGTTTTTATCGATACTTCCATGATCTAAAGATCCTTGCATGTCAACAATATTGCCGACTGGTGAAACGGGCGTTGTGGCCAAGTGACTCGCTCGTATTCTGTCAACCGAAGTCAGGATAAGCGGCTCCTTTTCATCGACGTCATCCGTGATGGATTTGGACTTTTGCTTTGTGTAACTTTTATGTTTTCTATTTTTGCTACGAGTATTTTCTATGCTGTTTGTCCTCATTTTCTGTTAAAAATTAAGAAGTTATATTTTGCATATAAATATGTATTCTAAATCGCAATTTACAAAACTTACTTTCATATTCGGCAAGATTCTAGTATCATCGACAAACTGAGGTAATCTGGTGAACAAATGTTGAACCATGTCTCTTAGACAATGCTCTGCCGTTCTTCTAAGTATTTCTGCAAAGAAGATATTTGATTCATTTGCAATTTGTCAGCAAAAATGTAAAACTGCTTTCAGTAAAACTCACCACTGAGACGTGTTTCAAAACATATCCTAAAACAACTCAGCATAATTTCGCATACACTTTCATTGGAAAGATGATCGCCCGCAGGTGAAAGCATTAGAGCTCTCAATACCTGTAAGATTCTCATCAGGACCACTCCATCACCGGATGCATCGGTGCCCACAAATCTCGCATGCGTAACAGCATCTGCTATAGTCTCTACACAAGAAGCTATGGCAGAATGATTAGCATCTAAAAAAAAATCTATGTATTAGAGCACAAAAAAGACTAGGATTGTAGTTGCTACAACAATTGAGACTAACCAACAAGACCATAAGAAATTATTTTATTAACAGCAGATAGCGCTAGACTAGTTACGGGTCCTGTGGTTTCCTCCGATCTTATAATTTCCAAAAAGGGGGTAAGAAAAACTGCAGGTTCCAACTGAGACAGATCTCTGTGCTCGTTTAACACTTCCTTCAAGGTATTCAAACCCTTCATTAAAGTGTCCTGATCGTCATCCTATAAATTAAATTATACCATTAAAATATACTTTCCAGATCTCTATCATAATGTCAATAGTCCCTGTCAAATTTATACAAGTGTCAAAATCAATAGATTACTAGAGCGATTTCTGCAACCTGTCTAATTTGACAGAAACAAAAATAGAAATGCTCCATACACATAACACTAATTATTTTATTGGTAAAAACAGTTAATAAAGGAGAGACAAAATTCATCGGGCTATTCTAACCTGGTGAGAGTGCGACGACCATCGGGCACCTCGCCGCATTGCCGTCACCAGGAGGCATACTTCGCCCTCGACGACGTACAAGCCGCCTCTACAGGGACCTACGGATCTCGCGGTTCTGTTCATCTTGCGTGATTTTGTCGTTAAGTCATGACCGGATCGCGAGAAACCTTACAGCTATCACAGTCAAATAATTTGCCACATTCGCCAAACGTTCGTCAGCATACGTCAAGTATCGAGGAGAGCCACTTGCCACTTCCCACCACTTTCAACTTCCAACACGATAATCATCGACCACTGTCAACCACCGTCGACCCACGAGTCTCGCAAATTAGAACTACTATATTCGATTAATCGATATTAATATCGAGAATAATCTCTTCCCCTACATTTATAAAAAAAACTTCTACAATATATATAAATATCGATTAAAAAATTATAAAAAAACTAATTTCTAAAATTGAGCAGTATTTATATAAATTTAAATAAATGTCGACAAACATGCACAATCATTCCAATCAGTCTCCTCAATTAAAGTTGGATTTAAACTCGAAGATTCTCTTTATACATATATGCACATATATTGTATAGTATATATATTGTATATATATTGTATAGTTTTTTAAAGGACGCTCCGTGTATGTATACAAGACTTAGGCTGCGTTCATAATTTACGTCACATACACTATAGATTTTCAATATTGGCAGTGGAATGCACCTTAACTATCGACTGGAAACTTACCATCAGCCGAGTAGCTGGAACAGTCGCGTAATTCGTGCTCTGGACTTACGATCTGTTTCTCAATTATTGACAGCAGTTAGTGACACATTCTTGTGAAAATATACATATATTTAAACCTCCAACACATATTCGCAGTTGAATAATTGAAGGTAAGAATGAATCAAGTAAGAAGATCTTTTCCTCTCTTGACGTTTGCCACGTACCATTAACCGCCTGCGTTACAGACGAATCGATCCTTATCGAGACGAGACTCTACTTCAAAAATTGTAATGACACAAGATGACTAATGATGAGACGAGATTCTTTGTGTGTATGCCTCGTGCGCACGAATCTGCAACACAAATTTCAGATAACTAGTCTTTCAGATCACTGTCTTTTATTGATTAAAACAATCATAACGGTCGACAGTCACTGATTTTTCTCTGATAGCACTGACGAGACTTTTCGAACGAAAATGTCATTTTATTACGGTTATAAAGTCAACAAAAATTATATATCATCCAAACTGTGTAGAATATAAATGACAAGTTAAAGTTGTCTTATTCTTTATTCACAGATAAATATAATGATAGATATGCAGTCGAATTTGCTGTTTGAAAGGTTATGAGATTTGTCGAAATTAATAGAATATTCATGCAAATTGTTAACGGAATTTATACAAAAAAATAATGCAGAAAATATAATTCATCTATTTTGATTTTTCTTAATTTACTTAGTGAAAAATCAATTTATTCATTAATGAAAAAACTAATTCGATTACATTTTCCATTGTATATATTTTTATAAAAATCTTAATTGTTGAAATAATAAATATTCTTTGTTGTGTTTATATCCTATCTGCTGATTCTGGTTTTAACCGACTTGAGATATATGACTTGTCGGATTAGCAATGTAATCGAAATAAACAAATTTTGCAATGCCTTATCTTTCCCACATTAGTCGCATCTCCGATATAAACAGGAAAAAAAAATTCATCGAGCTCGGGATTTATTTTTATTTCCAAATAATTTTTTGCGTTAACAAAATCGCACATGTACTTAGATCTATTCCTCTATATAATAATGTGTTAAATATTTATTCAGATATTTCTAATAATAAAGTGCATGAATTTTTGCAACATATAATTGCAGAGTGTTTAATGAATGATTCAAACTGTGTCTGATCTGCTATCTGATAGTAAAATCTATTTTGTAGCAAGAATTATATACTATTAGTCTTTAGAAAACCCAAGTTCTTTTATCAGATTTCATACAATACCGGAAATCGGGCGCAGTTTAAATTCTTTATAATTGAACAGTGCACGCAAACGTGCGAGGCATAATCGAAGTGAATGATCTCTTTAGCTCAATCAAATGGGTTCAGTTTCCAGTACAAAGAAGTCAATCATGCCTGTCACGCGAGATCTCGTCAACGAACTCATCGCAAAGGATTCAGTCGTCATATTCTCCAAGACTCACTGCCCGTACTGCAAAATGGCTAAGGAGGTAATTTTGCCCATTTGGGACGTCTTAATTCCAACTCGCGAATCTTCTGTTTTTCGGCTTGTCGCTGTTTCATGTCCCACTCTTTTTTCTGTCTTTCGCGATCCGCCTCGCGCATACGCAATTCTGCGATATAAAAGATACGATTATTTATATGATTATGAAGATAGTATTTTAACACTAGTACACACATTAAAATACATACTTTCTTTCAAAAGTTCTATTTCATGTTCGTGTCTAACGAACTCCATTTGAGCATCTAATTTTTCTTCTTCCATCGCTATTTCTCGTTCTAATGCCTTCTTCTGTTTGTACGGTTCGTTTAATTCTATGAGAATGAGTGATTTCAATCTTGTTTATAATTAACAAATTCTCCTGGAAATTAAATGATAGTAATGACATTTAATTAGCAACGTTACAACAAATGTTTATATGTCTGTATCCAAATAATAGGCTCGCAAAGTCATTAAAAAGTTTTCTAGCATTGATATCTAAATTTTTTTTATGACATGGAATATAATTTTCCAACTTTATATTTCAATTATTTCAAGAAAATATCTGAAATATAAAGTCTTTTATGATTGATTATATTTATTGCGAGTATAAAATTAAAAATTAACCTTTGTACAATTAATCAGAGATTTTTGAAACAATCATGATGCGGTTCTTTATATTCTACTAAACTCAAAAATAAAAAGATTTATTGGATTACGCTACCCTAATTTATTGCTTGTTCATACTAATTTACTGCTGATATTTATAGGTGTTTGAATCATTAAAAAAATCATACACGGCGATAGAATTGGACAACAGGGAAGACGCACAAGACATACAAGATGTGTTGGGCGAAATAACAGGTGCCAGAACAGTGCCCAGGGTATTCCTCAATGGAGAGTGTTTAGGAGGCGGTACCGATGTGAAGAAATTGTTCGACAGTGGCGAGCTTGAAAACAGATTTTAACTTTTAATCTTCGATGTGCTCTATGACAAATGACAAATAATATATTCAATATAAAATAAAATATAATCTTTTCTATAATATCATCATGTCTGCTGACACTCTCATGTAAAGGCAAAAAAAAAAAAAGAAAATATATTTGCTGAATACCGATTAATTTTAATTTTACTTTAAACAATTTCTTAAGTATGAACTTTCTTAAATTTTACTGTTTACAAAAAGAGCTTATAAAATATAGAATCAAATGAATTACATTTAAAATTGATCTCATAGGGCTGGACAGAATCGATATATAAAATCTACATAACGCGAAACCGTTTTAAGTATATTGTATTTAGTATCTATATAAATTATGATAATTAAAAATGATAATTATAATATGTGCAATACTTGTGCGACATGAGGTAAGAAATAAATTTAGTTTCAAAGTGCACTTTCTGCACTTTTTTTTTTCCCCTTACTACTCCGTTGTCGCGAATCCTAAATAGAATATCTAGTTCATTTTAGACCGCGAGGTGTAAAGTGATGTAAGTACAAGAAATTTAGCAAATAACTGTAATAATTAAATCGCGCGACATCGTGTCCACGATCTGCAAACACCACGTGTTCATTCGTGATGACTATATTACTTGATTCGTACACCTAAAAATATCCGCAGTCCAGCGGAGATCGTCCACTCGCATCGATCCCAAAACAAAACGATCGAAGTCACCACGAGGAATGGATTTATCACAATATCGTAAAATCATAATCTACGTGTTAACATTTTTGGCATACGCCTGGTCCGGCTACGGCGCCGGATTGTTGTCGAATTTACGGGACGCCGTGCTGGCGGCGGAGTCTGTCTTTCAAGATCTCTTTACCAATGCCATAACCGTCGCGAGAAAGATCAAAGACATACATGAAGTGCTCGATGCCGCTGTGGAGGAGAACTGCGTCTTCCAATGTCCCGACGGTGCGTATATTTACGTTTGTGGATTTATTCATCGCGTTATCAGGTTATCTCTTCATCGCGCGCCGCCATTGGTCGATTCCGATCGATTCGGAGCTCTTTATTCTACTTGCACTTTTTGCACTTTATTTTTAATTCCTCTTTTTTTCTAAGGATTTTTATACGTATCTCTATCCTTTTCTACGCAGAAAATGCAAAAGAAGGCAAAACTTTAAGCAATCCTTTTTAATATTGATATTTGAAGTGAAATATTCTCAACAGCTGACGGGTTACGTTCCATTTGGCGATCGCAATGCAACGTGGAGTCATGTCATCTCCTTGTCGTTCATTGAAAGTTAAACAGAGACAGATTATGCTCGCGAACACTTCAATCGTCAAGTGGAGCGCAGTCATAGTCTACGTTGTGATTGGGCAAATCTCAATGACGCATTATTTAAATCTTTCAGGCTCCGCGCCAAAGCCAGACTGGAATCATAAACCGCGAAGCAACGGATGCGGTTCTCTCGGAATCGAGGTTGGTGTTTATGGCACTTCCTCAGGAAACTAGATAAATAAATCACTAAGAATCTTATATATATATATATACAATTTTTATTAAAATATAATTGTTACAAATATTTGTATAATTGCAGGTAAATCAAGAATACCTGCCGCTCGCTGAAATGACAAAATGTTGTGACTTCCATGACATTTGCTATGACACTTGCAATATGGATAAAGAGAAGTGCGATTTGGAATTCAAGAGATGCTTGTACAGATATTGCGATACGTATCAGACTACCGGCGTTACTATCGTCAACACATGTAAAGCTGCAGCAAAGGTCCTTTTCACAGGGACAACCGCATTGGGTTGCAAGAGCTTTCTTGATGCCCAGAAAGAGGCTTGCTACTGTCCTGATAAATGGAGCAAAAATAAGAAACCAAAGAAAGCAGCGCAAGCCGGGGGAGAATTATAACGTCGCACATGAAAAAAAGTAAAAGACAATATAATATATATATATATATTTACATATAACACAAGTGTAATTAATAAAATAGGATTTCTATAATATTATTGTTATTTATATGTTCATAGTTTATAAGATTCAATAGATAAAGATTATTCAAAAACTGAAATAGAATATCTTTTTATATCTTATATTATATTGCTAATTAGAAGCTGTGTTGTATAAGATCATTTCAGGCAATCTATTTGCAACAAAATTCGCGCGGGGCAGATTTCAATTAATAATTTTATTAATAATTTCATTGACTTCTGTTTACATATCATGTAATACAGAAACATTCAAAAAAGTTATACATATATGTTAGAATGCACACATACATATTAGGATATGCAGCATATGCAATTATAAAATTATTTCTGTTCTGAATCTTGTAAATTGTCTGAAATGGATTTTAAAAACGATAAAGAAATAAGATAAAGGCACGTGGGGTATTAAATTGATTATGTTACTAAGATCTAGAATTATTCCATTTTATACATACATCACTTTGTAATCGAAATCGTGCTTGTCTTTTGAAAAAACAAGGGACAGTCTTTCGCGATATAAATGTCAACATGACAACTGTCTTGGACAAAATTACCGGCCGTGATCGATAAAACTAATTAATAATAAATTGTCAAGTAACTAATTTTCAAAACAATTATTAATGCTATCGTAACATAAAACTGAAATGGGAAACGCCAGCTCTACGCAGCCTTCTAAGACTCAAAAAGATCATAAGAAGGAAAGTCACGGCTGGTAAAACAATTTTTATTTTATACATACAACGAAGCAACGCCTTCGCTTCGCATAATTCTAATTTTTGACGTATTCATTTTTGATTATATCAGATATAGTTTGCTTAAAAACCTGTTATTTTGAATCATGATATCGGAAGAAAAAAAAAACTGTAATTTTCTTGTAACATATTCATCATATGAGAAATATTTTATTGACAAAATTTCTCTTTTTTCTTGGTTTCTTATAAAAATGATAAAAGAAGTGATTTTTTCTTGTCAGATAATCATTTATGTAAGGGCAAGAAAAATTTGTTTTTGACATCATAATTTACGGATACAGATATTGAAACATTAGCGACCAATCGTTATTAAGCACGCAAAAGCGTACTTTGCAGTTTCGCCTTTCACGTAGCGCAGATACTAGAAAAGACAGACGTCCCGCGAATGGAAATGGCAAAACAGTCGGTCAAAGTTCACGAGACTGGCATAACGTCCGAGCGACGAATCCTTTCATCATCTTCTTCCTGCGATTGCGTAGCAAAAAACCGAAAGAGCATGTCACCGTGATAGCGCGAGCTGCGGGCAAGCTGTGGGCCCGAATGACTCCCGAACAGAGGAAGAAGTATGTAGATCTCGCCAACACAGAGAAAAAACGACGCCAGGAGAGCAAACGGAAGAGGAAGCGTTTGTCCACACGTTCGAGGTAATTAATGTGTAAAAAAAATATAACAATAGGACGCATATAAATATCTCTATCGTCTCTAAATGAAGAGATCGAAGTAAAAGTCCAGGGGATTAAATTCATGATTCAAAAAGTTAATAAACTGTAAAGTATAAGAATCCATATATAATTTGTACAAATCAAAAATGCATATTTTTAAGATATATGAATTATAGATTTTTTTTTAACTCACTCCTTTTTCTCTCTTTCTCTTCTAATCCTTCAAATACAAAATATAGCCGCATTTTTATGTCCAGGATGAAATAGTGAAGCTTTTAGAGATTCGAGCTCATGCTGGGATGGAAATCTACGCGCGATACATGTTGTGACAGTGATGTAATATCTGGAAACGATCAAAATACAGTTATATATTTTTGATTTCTTTTTTATTTGTTAGTAGTCTTTTTTTTAGATCTATGTACAATAAATATTGATGTATTTTTATACATTATTAATTATCTTATCATTCAGTTAAGCCTAAACTAGGCGATCTGCCGTTTTCTTCCATTTCGCGTTTATCTCGTTCTTTCGTCTGAAAAAATTAAACTCGTAACGCTTCGTACCATAAATATATTATTTTTTTTTGCCGTGTTGACCATTCCGCGAAGCGTCGCCCAACGAGGGAAGGGAAGAAGGGGAGGGGAAATTACGCACAGTTCAGGATGATATATTTACGAGGGTAACGCGAATACGTATGTACGTTACCGTTACTCTTTCCTTCATCTCGTGAAAGAAAGTCGAAGGACACGCACGCTTTCTCTCGCGATTTCGATACAAAAAATAATTTCAACGCGAATCTCGCGACGCTTCGTGAAAGAGTCAGATTTGCGCGCTCCGTTTATCCTTTCCGAAACTAGAGCTACCCTCTCTCGATGATAGATAATAAAAACATACTATAATGAATACCGAATGAATGCGTGTGTGATATCGTATATGCGACAATTAAAATATAACGCACAATGTGATTACGTTTATTATGTCTATATGTTGTGTATGAGTGTGTCTGTGTACGCTTTTCATCATACTTGTCATAATAGTAGTAATGAGATTATTAATTAATAATAATAATAATAATGATAATAATAACAATTGATAAAAATTATGCGAACGATGGCGCTGATGATCGAAATTGATACTTTTATACCGATAAGATGATGTCGGCGACAATTAATCGATTTTCGTAATAATACAATAAGGATTATCATAGCGATACGTAGTTACTTTTTTTTTCTTTATGATACAGTAAAGTACAAGTGTGCCAAATAAACAACAACGTTCAACAATCGATAATATCAAACAGAATATTTTTTATTCGTAAATATTTATATATATTTATATATATATATAAATACATAAAACGTAACACCGCTGCGGTTTCGCAAAGGAATGCCCTACTAAAAATAGGTATTCGCATTTTTTTCACTCTTCTCTCTTTCAATCAGGGATGAGGAAGGGAAAAAAACAGTATCTTGGCCGACTGAAATTAAATCCGTCCAAGATAACGTTTTTATCTCTTCGTTTTATCTTTCCTTTTATTTTAAATGCACAAGTTTACGCGAACTCGTGCTTTCGAAAGAAGATAACTATGATTAAATTGTACCTTGTGTGCAATCTTTGTGTCGACAAGTTAAGAATCAGTTTAATACGAGCCTTCCTCGAGCATAGAGAAGAAAAACGTCCTGCTGTCGATGGACGTAAGTAGAGAAGAAATGGAAGGATATTAATTATCCTCCTTTCTTATCTTTCCCCTTCTGTTTTTTTTTTCTAAAAATAAATCTGGTGTTAAACATTGGGCATATGTATTTGCATAATAACATGATTTCGAATATATTAGCTTATATATATATATAAGCTAATACATTAGAAATATTTAATTCGAATATTTCATATATATACATATATATGAAATATACGCTAATAAATTTGTTATTCGCGAATATATGTATTTCACCAAGTGAGATAAAACATAAAATATAATTGTATATCTGACAAACGGATTACGCCAAATACAATGTTTCTATTCTATCCTGTTTCTATTAAAGTATTTAATTTTTTCGCAAATCACCGCACCGAGTTGTCAATGCGGCATTCTTGTCAGTAAAACGCAGAAATGAACATCTTCGCCTTTGGAGGTTCCACATAGTGTTCCTAAATTGAGAAGGAGAGTTGCAAACGAGCCAATGTGAAGAAAAGAATAGAAATATAGCTGACTGGCTGACGGACAGAAGATAGAAGCAACGAGTGGTCGAGGAAGTAAAAATGTCCGTGGTGCCGATCACATGGTGGTAGGAGGTCGAGTTCCCATCGGCGATCGTATCGAAGAGAGCATTAACTTGTCGCGCGAAGAAGTTAATTTGTTCGCCCGTCGAACGTCGGGAGAGATCGACGTAGTGATCAAAGTGGGAGAGCGCGACGGCTAGCGCGGCCTCATCGTGCTGTTGAGGGGCTGCATGAGACCACCGTTGATGTAGCCATGGTACGTAGTGTAGACTGCCGCCGGATTTTGTTGATGCGGGTCCTGCGGATACGTCGGTACATTTACTACGCCGACTGGCAGCTGGCTCGCTTGATTCATGAAGCCGCCAAGCTGCGCCGCTTGGTTCATATAACCGGTAGCCGGTTGCGCCACACGGTAGCCATACTGAGCGGCTGCCATGAGATTCGTGTTGAGGGCAACATTCGGGCTGACACGGCTTGCAGCACTCTGCATTTGCGGACAAGTGCCGCCCGGATCGAGAGTCTGCCGGTAAAGGCTCTCGCTGGAATACGCCGGCGTGAGCGACGGCATATTGGCGTTCGCGGACGATCGTGAGGCGGATCGACTGGGTGGTCCGGGCGTGCCGGGCGGTACAGTGTTGACGTTGTAATAATTTTTCGCGTAGCCGAGCGGTACTTGAGGTGGCGTCGGCAGTTGCCGCGATGTTTGCGGCGGTGTCATGGTGTGCGGAATCGGCGGCGGCGGTGTGAGGTTCATCGCCGGCGGTGGCGTGGGCGATATCATATCCAAACCATTGGTCAATTGCTGCAACTTGGTCAGACTACACGAGTTGGTGGTCTGGTGACCGCCGCCAGAGGCGGAGAGTGGCGTCGGTGCCGGTGTATGCGAATGCGGCGGCATCGCGCTGGTCTGTATGTAAAAGTTGGTGGCGGTAGTGCAAGGAGTCGGTGCGCCGGAACGGCCACTTCGATGCTGGATCACGTAGGTGTTCTGCGTAGGGAAGCCTTGCGAGCCCGCTACCGCCATGTAATTGCTCTGCGAAATGACCGCCATGTTGTGCGAGTGCGCAGCATGTGGGGTGTGCGAGTGCGGATGCACCGCTGGTGGCACGCTCATCGATGGAGACTGTTGATACTGCGGCACTGCAACATGTGCCACACTACTACTATGGCTGGTCTGAGACGTCGCAGCGTTATGTTGGGAGGATTGCGTAGTGTGAGACGTCGGCGGAGTGGCCCGGTGTGACCTGCTGCTCTGCTGCGTCGATCTGGACCTATGAGTGATTTGCGAGCCGCTGGTTCGCTTGCTATGCGATTGAGACTGTTGCGGTTGCTGCTGTTGTTGCGATTGTTGTTGTTGATGCGTAGATTGTTGTTGCTGCTGCTGTGACTGCTGTTGCGATTGCGTCTGCTGAGACTGACTATGTGTCATATTCTGATTTTGCGCCAGCGACAATTGCATCGGCTGCGGCGTATGCGACTGGGGCAAGGGCTGTGGCGTATGGCTCTGTGGCAGCGGTTGCGGGCTCTGCGTCGGTATACTCTGCGGCGTGTGAGACTGGGATAACGGTTGCGGCGTGTGGCTCTGAGGAAGCGGCTGCGGACTTTGCGTCGGTATGCTCTGCGGAGTGTGCGATTGCGGGGTGCGCGGTTGCTGGAGGGACTGCGACTGATGCATCGAATGGATCCCTGGATGATGAGCTGGCGGCGTATGCTGCGATATCGAACTACAGTCGGTGGCGTACTGCACCTGTGGTGGCATATTCACCGATGGCACTGGTGTTGAAGTCACCGGCGTTGTGATTTGCATGGGGACCGAGATGGGCACGCTGACGGGTGGCGGAATCGACGGTAAAGCGCTGGGCGGCCTCTCCACGCTATTCTGCGATGCGAGATCGCTGGCTATAGAAGTGGGCGATTCCAAGCCTAGTTGACTAACATCCAGATCGCATTGACCGTAATGCAGCGAGTGCACGGAATTGGTTGTCGAGTCCGGCGTGTAAACTCCCATAGACGGCAAGTCAGGTTGTGACGGCGGCGTTCTCTTCACCGAGCCTGGATTCTCCAGATGCGGCGTTGTCTTGCCGCTCTCAGGCGAATGCTGCTTCAACTCTTCCGCCTGGCTCTGTAATTGCAAGGTCGTATCCTGATGCTCTACGGTAGGCAATGTTTTCTCTTGCGGCGTAAGCGGTTCGGTCTCGGATGTCAGCACCGTATTAGCATCGAGGGCGCATGTGTCCTTTTTCTCCGCGGGGAAAGGTTCTACTTTCGGTCGCGACAAATCGATTTTTACGGCGTCTTTCGGCGTTTCGCAAACGAGCTTCTCTTTAGGAGAGTTATCATGGTTATCCTTCTCCGGTATATTCTCCGACTTCTCGACTTCCTCCTCTTTTGGTGAAGCAACTGGTTCAGGTACTGATTTCGATGTCTCCGGACTGCAAACGGGACGTTTGGCAGTTTCGAAGTCTTTATCACATTCGTTTAAAATTTCTTCAGTCTGATCATCGCCGACCGTTAGTGGTGGATCCGCTTCCGCTTTCTGCGATGAGTTTTCATCGTTGCTCTTCTCCTGCAACTTGTTATCCGCCTTTTCGTTCTCGCATGGTTTTTTCGTAGGATTCTCCGTGTCGGGCGAGGCCGATTGCGTCACGAGTTTGGGCGTCAGTGCGGCTGTTTCTTCCTCTTCTCCTTCATCTTCATCGCCGCCCTCGTATTCACCGGAACTCGCAGATACCACCTCTGTTTCCGTGGGAACGGGCAGTCCATTATCTTCTACGCTTTCACTTTTGTTATCTCCGTTATTGAAATGTTTTGCGGGAGGTGATTCGGGCACGGACGGCTGTTTACTTCGAGTCGGAGAGCTTTTTACGGATTCAGGCGGTGGAGACAACGAGGGAGGTGGTATCACAGGACTCTCGGCTCGGTTTTTCGCGCTCGGAGATTCCGGCGTAAGTTGTGGCATCTTCAAAGTCTCCACCGTCGCTTTACCTCTACCCCGCCTGGACAACGGCAAGTTCTTAACGTCTCGCGCTTCCTCTTTACCGTTACACTGTATTGTTTCCTCCAGTGCTTTCTTCTCTTTCGCTTGCAAATATTTAGTTTGCCTGCTCGTAACCTTATGTAAAATATCATCCACTTTGCACTGCTTCTTCGCCGGTTTG